GTTGAGCGCAGATGATTAAATCACCATGAAATCCAGCAGTCTCCCTGTTGCTTTAGGAATCCCGATATTTAATGACTTGAAAATAGTCTTTTATCAAGCAATGTTAGAATCAATGAAATATAATTTATAATATGGTTTGCCAATATTTTCTCCCATAAAGTAGGTTGCCTTTGCACTCTGTTGATTGTATCCTTTGCTGTGCAGAAGCTTTTCAGTAAAATTTACTTAAGAACAAACACTCCAGTTCCTAGCCATTATGCTTTTTTTTTAAGGCCTCAGCCAGAAAACTGAAACCAACCCCACCACGGCCACGGAGCCTTCACGAAAGAATGTTAGAAGAAATTAAAGCAGTGAGAAAGCTGCGGCCTGTCTCACCAGAGGAAATTAGACATAGCAGATTAGGTGAGTCCACTGTCTCCTGTACTCTCAGTCTCGAGTCATCCACCCGGGAAGGGGTCTTTATGCACCCAGTCACATGATAAAGACGGTGCAAGGCAGAGATAATCCACGCAGTTGTCATTCCTTCTTCATCTCTCTCTCACTCACTTGCTCTTGCATGCTCTCACGTACACACACATACGCTCACACTTACTTGAAGTCTGCACTTGAAATTTACAGAATAGGACATTCTTTCCCTATCTGATATTGAGCTATGAGAGTATCATGGTATAATGGAAAGAGCTCTGCCAGTTTCTAGGCTGAGGGTTTAGGAGAGTCTCTTTACCTCTCTGAGTGTCATTTTCTTCATCAACAGAGGGGGATAAAAATTCTTTTAACCTATGTTATGGCTTTTATATGAGAGTTAAATAGGATTATGGTAAAAATACTTTATAAATGGCAATACTTGTATAAGGTATTGTGTTTTAGGAATATAGATGATAGATAAATAATTTTACTTGTGTTTCTACTATCTTAATTATGAGTTTAAGATATGGTATTATGTGATGAAAGTAAGTTAGCTCAGTTGGTTAGAGAGCAGCCTTATAACACCAAGGTCCCAAGTTCGGATCCCCAAACTGGCCAGCACCCAAAATAAAAAAATATCACTTATTCTCAAACTTCCTTTACATTTATTATTTTATACGTTTTTTAGTGTGTACTATAAGCCCACATTGATTTTGATTTATAGACGGACCATAAGATGTTTGTAAACATTTTTTATTTATATGATTCTCCTCCATGTTACAAGATTACAGATGCCCAAAGAATTCAGAGAAACTTTAGGAAGACAGATTGTAGTGGTACCTGAACAGGAAAGGAACCAGTTCTATGACACCACACTCTGCTGGTTTTCTTATCTCTTTTTCTGCTTTTTTCAAACTCTACTTTGTCCTTCCAGTTTCTATCTTGGGCTCTCTTCTCCCTGAGCAACCACACCCTCTCCCATGGATTTTGTTTCTCGCTACCTTCCAGCTCCCAATCTATAGACAGATCTCTCTAAAAATTCAGACCCATGTATCCTGGTGTGTGCTACATAGGGCCTCCTCATATCCTACTAGCAAGACAAACCCAGTATGTCCCTAAATGAACTCATCTGCTGTCTCCCCAAACCATCTCATCCTGTTTCCCCAAGATAGAAACCTCAGCATAGTCTTTCACTTCTACCTGATGGCAAACCCTGTTCAATTTAATTCCTTTGGATCTTTCTAGTCTTTCACTCTTTCAGTCCAACAACCACTATCCTAACCCAGGCTGTCATCTTCTCTTGTCTGTCTCAACAGCCCTTTGACTGTAACTTCTTGCTTCCAGTCTTGAACTCTTCAACCACTCCATGTTGATTTTCCTTGTTTGATCCCGGCCCTTCTGTTCCAGTGTGACCTTGTGATGGCAGGGCCTATGTCTGTCTTGTTCATTGTTGTGTCCCTACTGTAGGACCAAGCTGTACAAAGTATTCCCGTATGTGCTGAAATAATTAGATGTACCTTCTGGTTACAAAGCTACAGAGTGAATAAAGGCTGTATGAATTTACTCCTCTCTAATTTTTATGGCAGCAAATTTTGTCTCTTAAAAATGATTCTTAAAGCATGCTAAGTGACAAGTCCATATGGAACATTTATATAATTGTGAGCCAAAACATATAAACCAGGGTTCTTTTCTTGGGAGTCCTTAAATGGGCCTGAGGAAGTACTGAGAATCCCCTGAAATATAAAGAATTTGCATATTTCACAAAGTGTATGTATGTACATTTTTCTGGAGAGAGAGTCCCTGGCTTTTCTCAGTTCCCAAAGAGTCCATAGCCTCAAAACAATAAGAACCACTATGGAAAAATAAGGAAACGGTACTATAGAATGATAGTTTAAGACATCATTTTTAAAAAGACATTTTAAAAAACATTTTATTACACTTCGAGAAAGAATAACGGGAGCAATATAAAAGATTTCAACAAAACTGTGAGTGTAAAATAAATATATTACCACAAGAAAAGTAATAAGCCTTATGATTTATAGGAGTAAAACATAATTATGCTTAGGGATTGTAAACTTCAATGAAGGTAACAGTAGAGTATAGAAAAGAACAAGACAAAAAGTGCTTATATGATTTGGATTGATATTCGACATCTAGTTCCTTTATTTTTCTGACAGTTTTTCGAATCTTTGCTATGTGTTAATCACTGTGCCAGCAATTGGGGATGTAGAGATAAATACAGCATAGTCACTGCCCACAAAATCTTCCAAAATGGTGACTGTGAAGTGCCATGCATGTTCACATTGCAAGAGATATGAATGAACATTAACAATAGCCAATCAGAATGGCTTTAAGTGAGACCATTTAAGGGAGTTTGAGAGAGATACTAGTAGTGTATCCCTCTTAAGCAGTCAGGGGGACACTCTCCAATTGCACCTAAATGTCACAGCAAACCTTTTTTTTTTTTAAATTATGGTAGGAACATTTAACATGAAATCTGCCCCCATGACTCAATCAGTTTCCAACATTGCCGCATTGGAGATCAAATTTCCACGAGTTTTGGAGGGGACAACACATCCAAACTTCATCATTCCACCCCTGGCCCCCCAAAACTCATGTTCCTCTCAGATACAAAATACAGTCATTCTATCCCAACAGTCCCAACAGTGTTAGCTTGCTCCAGCACCAACTTAAAAGTCCAAAGTCCATTTTCTATTTTAGCCTGTTTTGTGTTGCTATAACAGAAATACCTGAGACTGGGTAATTTATGAAGGAAAAAGGTTTATTTGGCTTAAGATTCTGGGACAGCTGCGTCTTGTACGGGCCTCAGGCTGCTTCTACTCATGGTGGAAAAACAGCAGGCAGCTCGTGGGTACAAGCAGATCACATGGCGAGAGGAAGCAAGAGAGAGAGAGAAGGTGCCAGGGTCTTTTTAAGCAACTAGCTCTCACGGGAACTAATAGAGCGAGAACTCATTAATCCCCCCTCCCCCAGGGAGAGCATTAATTCATTCATGAGGGATCTGCCCCCATGACTCAGTTTCCAACACTGCCCATTGGGGATCAAATTTCCACATGAGTTTTGGAGGGGACAACACATCCAAACTCCATCAGGGAGGAAAGGAGGAATGACCAATTAGATATCTGAAGCACTGTGCTTCAGTGTCTGATATGGCAGGTTCTAAACAATAACAGGAAGGCTGAGCCTAGGTCACAGAAAAGATGTTCTCTCTTCAATGCATTATCACCAAGGTACTGGTGAGAGTTTTAGATTGTAGTGAAAACAGATCATTCTCACTGTCATGAGTACCCAAATTCATCAAATCCTTGCAACAACCTTTTTTAACAGCTTTATTGAGGTATAATTTACATACCATAAAATTTAGCCATTTAAATATACAATTTAATGGTTTTTATTATGTTAATCAAATGTTTTACATTAATTATTTCAACAGGAAAGAAATAATAATTTTATTCTTAAGAAATGATAATCACACGGGCCGGCCCGGTGGCGCACTGCTACAGTG